GGGTATATATCAATCCCTTTTATCTGTTAGCACAAAAGGTTATCAATCCAAGGTGTGAGTTTAGTACACTAGACTATGTAATCAGTTCTCAATCCAAGCAAAACAAGATGGTTTAGTTTCAAACAAGTGGCAGAATTGCAATTAAATAAGATTAAAGACTTAAACAAACAAATAAACAAAGACAGCAAATGATTAAGATGATATGAATATGGTGAAACATAGAGTTCTAGACATGATAGTTGGCTAGGGTGCATCAGGGTCTAACTAAGGAGCTAATGACTGATGTGCTACGAGGTGAGGGAACAAGTTTTACCCTTAATAAAAACAAATGAAAGCCACAAGTGCACATCTAATCAGTTGTAGTACTTAGGGATCAAATCCACATGGATTTGTGTGCCTAGTATTTTTCTACGGTTTCTAAGTTTATGTGTAGACTAAATCGGTTTTAGGGGTTGGTTGTTTGTCATGGATTAAACTAAAACTAAAGAAAGCAAATAAATCTATCCTAGAAAGCAAGTAGGAAATCGAATGGAAGCAAATGAAACAAGCAGAAAATTGAACTAAGGCAAATAAAATGCAGATCTAAAGAAACAAGTAAATATTGATTGGTTTGTAAACTTTGACTAAAAACGCTGGACTTTCGGGAACTCTACAGGGATCATAATCGGTTTCAACACTATGGATTTTAGATTGGGATTGATGGATATCGAAATATTAGGGTTTTAGAGCCAGAGGTTGACGGTATGACTACATCACCGTCGTGATCATAACCAACTGTTTCTCGCAATCCTGACCAGTAGGTTTCCACTCTGGCCCTGGAGGGGAGAAAACGCAAGAGCTGCACAGGACTCGTCAGTACTCCCGATTTCGCTGCAGGTAGGTTTCCACTCCTACGGGAAAATTGCATGTTTCATTTTAGGTCGGAACACTTTCGCAAAACTAACTATCTAGATGATATACAAGGTGATCAATCAAGCATACATGCATTAAAGACGAGAATAAACAGAGAACATAGTTAAAATCCCAGATCTAAAAACCTAGATGTCTTAATCGATTATGAGAGTCCCGAAACATGGCTGAGGTCGGGATCAACTCAGACATGGCTGAGGTTGACATCATCATTGGTTTTAATGAAAGAAATCAAAAACAGTAATGAAAAGAGATGAAAGAAAGCTTCTCTATTGATGAACTCAGAGTTGAACAATCTTCTCTAAAAATCGCATAAAACGGCTGGAAAAAGGGTTTCTGTAAAAGTATGAAAGGTGATGTCTAAAAACAACCTAAATGACAAGTATTTATAATCTTCAATACTCTAGGATCTCTAGGGTTCCAGAATTGAGGCTGGGAAATGACTTGGGCTTCAGAAATGGGCTTTTTAAGTCAGAGATGCCTGGTCGCGGTCGCGTGAGGTGTAACCATGGGGAATGAAGGCTTGGCCGTGGTCGCGTGGCTCAGGCCACGGTGGATGGGCTGCTGGCCGCGGTTGTGTGGGCTGCCAACCGTCTTCGAATGTCTACGGGGCGAATGGAATATCTTGAGATCCAACCGTTGGAATGTCTTGAAACCAAGTACATTTGAAAGCTGGTTGAGTCTTTTATTAGTTGTCCAATTTTGAGGGTGATCAGACGGTGAGAAGGTCTTCGTCTCTCCATGAGAGTTCTGACGGTCTAAAGAGTCTTTATGTTCTAATTTGCACCTCTTTATCCCAGATTACCTGAAAAGTCTTTTAAAATCCGAAAACATAGAAATCCTTTGAAAACCTTTGAAAATTGAGTAAAACACCTGCAAAAGATACTAAAGTGATCTATAAAAATGGTCAAAATCCGGTGTTATCAATTCTCCCAAACTTAGGCTTTGATTGGTAACCTGTGGAATGGTGGAATTGCGTTTTTAAACACAATTCCGCAGGTTATTTGCCAATCAACAATAATTTGCGGAATGAGAAAATACACTCAAAAACGTAGTCTGCGTTTTTGCTTAAAGAAAATACAAAGGAAAAGTTATTCCGCAGAAAAGCGACTTATAAGTAGCTTAATCTATTCCGCATGCAAGATTTTTACCGCCATTCCCCTATTCCGCAAGATTACCAATCAAAGCTTTAGAATAACAAAAAAAGACCAAATCTCGGTGAGAGGTTTGAAAACGCAGGAACTTCTAGACTAATATCAATCATTATGCATCAATCGGGAATAGCCTAGGAAATTCTCACTAAAAATACGGGTGTAACTAGTCCGTTAATCCGTCATGCGGAAATTTATTGCACTTAGATTTAACTTCCAGTCAACTAGCTCTTAACATTTATTTAAAATTTTGGTGGGTCTCATCAAAGAAAGTATAAGCAAGGCGATCTAGGCTAGGTAGCAAAAGGGTTCATTTTAGGGGTAAGGCTTAAAGTGTTTATGGGTTACCTGAAGATCTGGAGGATGCAATATATTATGCAAAACCGCAAGACAGAGTGAAACTGTTGATATCCACAGTTTCCAGTCACTTTCTTCTTGCAATGAATATCTTGTCTTCTTCCTCAGGTTCTCTCTTAACTCCCCCAGACTTAGATTTTTGTCTATCTTTCAAAACCATAGCTCCATAAATGAATAGTGGTTGCCTTTGCTCCAAATAATTTTGACAATCTAAGACTCATTAGACTTTTTGTTTCCTTTCCTTTAATTTTTTTTTTTAAAAGGGGAAACACCTTTATATATAGAGTCATAGAGAGCACGAAATTACCAATAAGAATGAGTTCTCTGAGGCAATATAAACCTTGATAAGGTTTCTGATACTCCTCCTTCCCAATTCTCTTTCTTTTGAGTTACTGAAAGCTGCATCGTTCCTCTTCTCTCCGACTTGCATATATCTGCTGATATAAACTAAAGAAAGAATGCATGAGGTTTGAAAACAAGGGGTTTGGGTTTAGGGTATGGTACCAGATAAAGATGAACTGGCCATCTAGGACGACAAATAGTGGTAAAATGAGGAAAAAAACGTCCTAGATGTATATCTCGATGCCTGCCTATAATCAATGATGAGAAAATTAGATATCAATATTAAGGTCAAATGAAATGAGCTAGTATATCCTGTCAGAAAGAATCTCCATGAATAGAAATCCTCTGGTGGGAGTTCGTAATGCAAGTACTTTAGCTACCGCCTAGTTTAGTGCTAACCATAAATGAGCTATCATGCGTAGTGTAGAAGCGTGCAGGTCTAAATCATCATAATTTTGTGTCAAACATTCCTGAAAAATACTAAAGGTCGCATAGGTTACATATTAAAATTTAAAAAGTACTTGAAATTTAAAAACAAAGCAAGAAAATGATTAGTACGGATAGACATCCTCTTCCAGACTTAAATCACACTGCCCCCAGTGTGAAAAAAAGTTGGTGAGAAGATGGTGAATAAAAGCGAGATAGTCTAAAATAAAAAAAAAGAAAAGAAAATGATGATAGAACCGTGATGGTGGTGAAATGACGATGAAATGCTGATCAATCACTGTTCCTCTGATGTGTCTGCCTCGAACTGGTGCTGCTTTTATAGGAAGGTGACGACGCGCTCAAAACGTCGTCCCTGTCTCTCAACTCTGTGATCCAGGTCAGCCTGTGTACGTGATGATGTAGATGATGAAGTATGGTCGGTGGAAGCTGATGGCTGATAGTGAGCACGTGCTGCAGCGGTTTGACTCTGAGCTGAAAATCTGGTCTTCTATCCATTTTGTTAAGGTTTTACATAAGTTTCCTAAAAAGAATCTTGAAACTACAAATACTAGAAAAACATAATAAAAACACTTTAAAGTAATAAAAACATAAGAAAAATATTTCAAAACGATCCATAGTGGTCAAAATACGGTGTTATCAGTAGGCTTCACCATTGTTGAATCAAGACTAGAGACTCTCTCTATTGGCTTTGCTTGATCAACTTGTAGTCCCTTTGTTTCAATAGATACAAAATCATTCCATTTCTGAACAATATAGGCTGCCTCCCTACCTTCTTTCTCAATGTCCTCATTGTGATCATAGAACAGGTTCTCGGAGTCTTCTATAATGGCGTCCTCATCCTCAGTGTTGGAGTTGAACTCATTAGAGACTTTTCCATAAAGAAGATATTCAATTTCCTGAACAGCAGCAGTGTTCTCATCACTTGAGTATATGGCATTGCAATACTCTTTGGCGTTTGTAACAACTTTGCCTGGCAGAGAGCTTTGAGATTCAGAGGTGGAGATGCCTTTGTTCTTTTGAAGAGTCTTTATTCGGGTTTCTAGTATCTCTATCTTGGAACTGAGTTCACTGTTTTGAGTATTCAGTTTTTGTTGTCCTTGTAGATGCTGTTGTAGAACTCCACTGATGTCTAGACCCTGCTGCTGAGAAGTACCATGTTGAACCTGTGGCTGTCCAAATGTTGGAGGGTACGACTTCTGTTGCTGGAAACTGACTTGATTTGGGAAGCTATTTCCTTGGTTCTGAACTCCTGGTTGTTAAAAAGCTTGCTGCCCTTGGTAATTTCCTTGGAACTGATTCTTTGGAACATAACCCTGAGTCTGAACTTGCTGAGGAGGATACACTTGGTCTCCAGGGTTGGCAACATTTTGGTTTCTATAGCTCAGGTTCTGATTGTAATTGTTGAACCTGTTGAACTTGTTCTGGTTCCCAATGAAGTGGAGCTCCTCCTGAGTCAAACCATCTTCATTTACATTCTCAAAACATTGAGCTTGCCCATCAATTTCACCAACATAGTTTACAGGCTTTTGAGTAGCAGCTAAGACCTTGTCTAACTTGCTTTGCAGCTCCTTGATATCCTTTCTCATTCTTTGCTCCTCCCTAGAGTCTTCTCCTCTATTAGCTCTGTCATACTTCTCTCCATAAGTGTCATTGCTCATGGCAAAGTTCTCAACTAACTCCATGGCAGCAATGATCTCTTTTGCTAAGAAGTTGCCATTGGATGCAGTGTCTAGTTGATTCCTGAACTTGGAAAGAGCACCTCTGTATAGAGTGCTAAGTAAAGAAGCTTCTGAGAATCCATAGGGAGGGCACTGGTTTGTATAGCTTCTGAATCTCTCCCAGGTTTCACCAAGTGTCTCAATGTTGTGTTGGGTGAAGGAAGAGATCTGATTCCTGAGCTTGGCTGTTCTTGAATTTGAAAATAACTTTAAAAGGAAATCCAGCTTGCATTAATAGAACCTCTAGGCAAATTCTTCTCCCATTGGTGTGCTTTGTCTCCCAGACTAAATGGAAAGTGTCTCAGCTTGAAATCATCCTCAGACACACCATTGATCTTTGTAAGGTTGCAGACCCTGTCAAAGTTATCAAGGTGGTCTAGGGGGTCTTCCATAGGCAAGCCATGGAACTTGGAAATCTGGACCATATTGAGAAGTGAGGCTTTGATTTCAAAATTGTTGTTCTCAAAAGGTGGACCCTGGATAGCTTGCCTATTCTGGTGAGCATTTGTTCTGTCATTAGCACTCACAAAAATCGGATTCTGCACTTGAGGCTGGTGATGCCTTTGCTGGTGTTGGTTTTCCTGGTTCACGTGAGCCTGATGCTCATTTCAGCCGCCTGGTTCTGGTTGACCTGAGCCTGGTGCTCATTCCTTGCAGCAATGTTTTGGTTCACAAAAGCTTGTGCCTCATTTCTGGCCACCTTGTTCTGGTTAACCTGAGCCTGGTGTTCTGCTTGATCCCCTTGCTGATCCATACCCAGCGGCTGAAGATTTTATGCACTCTCTCTTGCCCTTCTACCTCTTCTATCAAGCAGCTGTATGTTGTCAATGAAGGGCTCTAATGGATCACAACTTCTGCTTCTTGTTCTAGGCCTGTGGTTCATAAGCCTGAAACTTCAAAAACAGAACTCAAATGGATTATCAGTAAAACAAAAGAAAAATGCTTAATCTCATGATGAATTCAAAGATCAATACTAGATGTAATCACACAATGGCAAACACGCCAAATTGAAACAAATTGAAACAAGATCTTTTTCAGTTCTTGTGGGTTCAGTTCCCAATGTCTTTGCAGTATAAGGGGTGTCAAATCCAATGTGTGATATCTAGATACCAGAATGCATGAATGCAGCCTTAATCCAAGCAAGCAAATGAGTTGGTTTTGTAACAAGTGATGAAATTGCAAATAAACTAGTCTAGACAATTATCAAACAAAACAAACAAACAATATCAAGATGATGATGATATGAATATGATGGAATCATGGAGCTCTAGACATGATAGTTGGCTAAGGTGCATTAGTGATCAATCAAGGTGCTAATGACAATATGAAATATGATTCAAGCAACTTAGGATTCAAAGCAAGTTTTAATCTTTCCCAAGCATCAAAACACAAATCAGATGATTACTCATACCCAATCATCATTGGAGACATAACAATATGACAGCATTAATAATCAATCCTAAAATGTCATTTATATATATAACAAACATTCCCATGGCATTAATGCATAAACCTCTATAATAGCTGGTTCAGGCATTTCATCAAACACTTTTCGGGTGGATGAAATGCCAAAGATCTGGGTTAGAGAGATTATCTAAAACCCAACATTAATATTTCTGGTCGTCCTTAGGGCTTTCTTTGAAGAGAGAATTAGTTGGGCTTGAAAACGGGCCATTAGGCCAAAAATGGGCTTGTCGCAGAATTGGGCTCTCCAACGGTGGTAAATGTGGGTTCACCGTGGGTGGAGGTTCTGAGGCGTAGCCAGGAGAGTGTACACTGCTGTCACGAGCTCCTGGACCGCGGTGGTTGGCCTATGATGTCCAAACTTCATTCCTTCTCTTGCTTCTTTCGCAAGACTGCAGAACATGTCTTTAGTAAATTGGAATTAACCTATGATCCAATCGTTGGATTGCGTCCAATCCAAGTGCATTAGAAATCTGGTTGTCTCAGCTATCTTGTGTCCAAATTTGAGCTTGATCGGACAGTGGGAAGGTCTTCATCGGATATAAAACTTCTGACAGTCCGAAATTGGTCAAAAGTGGATTTTTCCTCCAATTTGCATTGTTTTTGTCTAAGTAATCTGAAATTTTTTTTAAAACTCCAAAACATGGAAAACACTTATAAAACCTTTAAAACTGATTGAAAACACCTGCATAAGATACTGAAAGTGATCCATAAATTTGGTCAAAATCTGGTGTTATCATTTATTATTTCACTTACTTATCACAGTTTGAAATTTTTGCAGAATAGACATCCTCCATGTACATCGACACCTGAAGTACTACACCGCACGACTGTCCAATTGCAGTATACTAGGGTTTTTATAAATTTAAAACTTAGTATTTGCGACCTGCTAACCCTAGGGAGAGATGGTTAGAGAGTTGAAATCTACTTTGAAAAAGTGAAGTTTGGCCAAAAATCTCATAATAAGCTTAAGAATTGAAAAAGTTGTTATATCTCCTAAATCTCCAAGTCTTTTGGAAGAGAAGAAGAAAAAGAGATTTTGATCTAAATTTTTCATTTCTTTCATTTAAAAACTGTTTTTATGGCCAAAAAGGGAAATTTTTGGGAATTCAAAAGCTTACGGGAACTTACCTTTGCTTGATGGTTACAGAACTGGGAACCGGGAAATTTTTAAAAATGAGCTGGGTTGGATTAGGTTCGGAATTGCATTGTGTTGGGGTCGGTTTCACCCCAAGCGGATAAAACCATCTCAAAAATGACTAAGTACTGGAGAAAACCGATTTGGCAAGAAGGAACAGCTACCCGCCGAATATGGGCCAAGCCGTCCCACAAAACAAGTGGGCCGAGCTGTGCTCACCAAGACGAGTGGGCTGAGCCATGGAAGAAGATAAATGGGCCAAGCCGCGAGAAGAACAAAGAGTGGGTCGAGCTGAGAAAGAGGAAGAATGGGCCGAGCCGCTTTTCTTCGTGTTGGGCCGAGCCAGTCCTTCTTCAATGAGATGAGCCAAGATCGTAAAGGACCTAGGCCCATCAAAACCCTAGGCAAAGTGCTATGGCGGCGGCCGCACGAAACGATAAGGAAATATTCCGAAAATCTTTTCTGAGATTCTCGGCTAGAAGGTTCATAGACTCTATATAAATAGTCGCTGTAAACAATTCATGATGTAATTTTTTCACAACTCGAGAGCAATAAGACTTAAACACTTTTCAGCAAAAACTTTCTTTTGATCTTAATGTTCTTGCGATAAACCCTAGAAATCTCGGATCCCTTAAGTTTTCCTTAACAAATTTTTGGTTGTGTGAGTTTTGGCTCACACAATTTGGCGCCGTCTGTGGGGACTCGAAATTTTCTTACACAATATCGTCAAGAGCTAAAGATCCAAAGAACATGGCAACCGACGCATCCGGAGATGACAACAACAACAACGGCGCGAAGAAAGACGCTCCACCAGCAAGCACGACAACGACAACCACCGAAGCCCAGGAGGAGATGCGGAACATGATGGCCACGTTGATGAAGAAAATTGACGAGCATGACAAGAGGAACGAGGCGATTACGGGGAGACTTGACGCAATGACGGCCAAAAGACGGCACCCAACTTGGAGAGCCAAGATCTCCGATCCGACAGATAGAGTCAGGAGACGCTTTGATTTCTCGACACCTGCATGAGCACCGGTAGCGGCATAAGAAATCCCATGGCTCCGTTAATGTTTTGTCCCCTCGGAGAACAAACTCCCGCAGCTACCCGAGTCAACATGACCGAGCCGCCCCCGCTTCATCAGAATTCAAGGCGACGAGGCGATGAGGAGGAGAACGACGTGATCGATGTGGACGCCCAGCAGAGCGACAGAACCAGGAACTCGCAACAAAATAGCTCGGCTCGGCGGATAAGTCAAGAAGAGCTCGCCTCGGCACTAAATGGCATTCAAGTTGACGAAGTCGCCGACCCGATTCGCGGTAACGACCCAACCGAGGAAGAGAAAAATCTGCAATGGGTCGAGCAGGCAGAGTTCGAAGACGAGCCGAGGAGAGAAGACCAGGAGCGACCTCACCCACCTAGGAGAACGACCTGCGCGCAGACCTTGGAGATCGAAGAGTTGCGAGCCTCAATGTCTCAGACAGTGGCAGAGATACGCGCCATGAAATCTGAAGTGCATAATGCGACAAGTGCCGCGCCGGAGATTAATCGAATGCTCGAGGAAACCCAAAGAACCCCATTCACGACGAGGATCATAGAGGCTAGGATCCCCGAACCCGGAAAAGTCAGGATCCCTTTCTATGAAGGAACCACCGACCCGAAAGCTCATATCACGGTGTTCAGCATAGCAATGGGACGAGCCTTCACGAGGAACTCTGCCAACCAGACCAAACAAGAAAAAGACGCCGGTTATTGTCTGCTGTTGTAGAGCATCTCAAAGGGCCCGCACTAGAATGGTTCTCAAGGCAAGAACGTAATTCGATCAACAGCTTCCAGCAGCTCTCTGCCTTGTTCTTGAAGCAGTACTCGATGTTCATGAACCGAGGCACATCCGACGCCGATCTATGGACATTATCTCAAGGACCTAACGAACCGCTTCAGGATTACATGGCAAGGTTCAAAGCTGTTGTGTCCAAAGTAGAAGGAATAAGTGACAAGGCCGCCCTTGAAGCCCTAAAGCGATCTCTATGGTACAAATCAGAGTTTCGAAGGGAGATGGCGCTGAACACACCGCAAACAATTCAGGACGTTTTGCATCGATCAGTACAAAGCGACAAATGCAGCAATCCGGAGCTCGATTTTAACTGCAGATCTGAAGAAATACTATCACTAAGGATGCCCCACGACCAGCATGAATTACGGAACAGCTTGATCCCTGCAAAGGGTACGTAGGCAGCCCGTCCTCGGACGGGTTCAGCTGTCCCCATTTTTAAATGGGGGGGGGGGGGGGAGTAGGTACATATACACCATACTTACACCATTTCTTAAATTTTTAGCTCGTCAAGTCAGGTATCTCTAGATTTATTTCACTTTGTTTTTTTTCGTTCACTTGCTTTCACTTCGGCTAGTCTTTTATTCACTTGTTTTACGTCGGCTAAACATTTTACTTGTTTTACAAAGAACTTTATTTTCATTGATTTTGCATTGCTTCGGCAAAGTTCTACTTTGGTATCCAAACACCGTACGCCTCGTCTCGTTGCTGGCCATAACGGGACAACAAATACAAAGTTCTCTAAACAA